ATCTTGGAGACTCAGCTCCCTTCTCTGCTTGTGGTCCCCCAGTCCTGACCCACAGCCCCCACTCCTGGCATCTGTCCTCAGCTCTCTCAGGAGATGAGATAATTTTTCTTTTTAATTGTCTGGCTCCAACTTTTCAAGCAGGAGCCAGCGGTAACTTCAGCTCAGCTCTTTAATTGGCTTCACCAGTGGCCCAGGTCATCAATACCCAGAGCGAGAAGCGTTCAGACATCAAAACAAGCTAATTCCGCAAAGGGATTTGCAGTCTGGTCTCTGTGATTTATTAAGTAGCTCTAACACCCATGAAAGATACTGGGTAGAGAACCCTCAGAGATGGACAGCCTCTGTTAATGCCAAGAGTTGACACAGCACAGGCAGTGGGCAAGGCCGGCTCCAGGCACCAGCGGAGGAAGCACATGCCTGGGGTGACACATGCTAAGGGGCAGCATTCCGTCCATTCTTGGGGTGGCACAGTCCGAGGGTTGGTTTTTTTTGTTTTTTTTTGTTTTGTTTCGGCAGTTCGGGCTTTATTTTGCTTGGGGCGGCAAAAATGGTAGAGCCGGCACTGGCTGTGGATGTGAGCTCTAGTGGTCAGAGAGCTGGACTGGGAGCCAGGACTCATGGGTTCTTTTTCCAGCTCTCAGAGGGCACTTGGGTCTAGTGCAGTTGTTCTCAAACTTTTGTACTGGTGACCCCTTTCACATAGCAAGCCTCTGAATGTGACCCCCCTTACAAATTAAAAATATGTTTAACACTATTATAAATGCAGGAGGCAAAGTGGGGTTTGGAGTGGAGGCTGATAGCTCACAGCCCCCCATGTAATAAACTTATGACCCCCTTAGGGGTCGCAACCCCCATTTGAGAACCCCTGGTCTGGTGGGTTAGAACAATGTGGAAGTAGGTAGTCAGAGCTCCTGGGTTGTATCCATAGCTCTGGTAGGGGACTGGGATCTAGTGGGTTAGACCAGTGGGGTTGGGCATCTGGACACCTGGATTAGAGTTTAAAGCCAGAAGGGACCAGCAAATCACCTAGTCTCAACGTCTGTAGATCTCAGGCCACCAACACTGCCTAGACCAAGGTATTACAAACCTCAGGAGGCTAAACTGTGAGGTGTCACCGATGGAGAATGGCAAGGACTGGCGTGCACCAGTCCCTAAGGCCCCCACAATGGCAGGGAAATGATTAAAGGAGATACACCCAGCTCGTCCTGGCAACTGACCTGCACCCACATGCAGCAAATGAATAGGGTGACCAGATGTCTGGATTTTATAGGGACAGTCTCGATTTTTGGGGCTCTTTCTTATATAGGCACCGATTACCCCTCACCCTCGTCCCGATTTTTCACACTTGCTATCTGGTCACCCTACAAAGGAAGGTGGAAAAACCCAAGGTTACCGCCAATCTGAGCTGGGGAAAAATACCTGCTCCACCCCACATACAGTGACCAATTTGTAGCCCATGGGACTGGCTTGCCTTCATTATATTCAGCTGTAATGCAAGGAACCTACAGGCTTGTATCCTGTAAGACATTAGCTTCCGCAAATTAGCAGAAGTATAGTCCAGAATAGTTGGCCTGTGACATTTGTCATGGATAAATGGCCTGACAGTTACCCTTAGATTTTGGGGAACTAGGGATAGCTTATTCAATGGCAGGTAAACAGCAACCACAGGAACATGGACGTGATAACTGTCAATCTGTCTGAGGAAGAGGTGACACATAGGATCAAGAGTTAAATGACATTAATATGCTAATCTATAGGATCAGTTCACCCTGATATTAAGAGGGCGAGGAAGTTCGATTTGGGCATAGAAGGCTGAACATTAGCATGAGTATTCATAATGGCGCTCAGGCCCTATAATAGGGCAACCCACCATGCAGATGGGGGAGTGCTTTTCCATCATTTAACCCTTCAGCTCTATTGTTATCTACCATCAATCTTGGGCATTGAGGAACCTGGACCATTCGCATGCCAGGGACAGGGATGGTCCTTTGTCTCTTACCTCCAGGTCCGCAAAGAAAGGTGGAGGTATGCAAATCTAAGAGTATATGCAAAGAATGATACCACAGATACCCCCAATACTATATTTCTCCTATCTGTTTTGTGGCTCAGAGCTTTTCTGGCTTTATTACTGATTTTAATAAAAATCTCTAAGTCTTTGCTTTGACCTACACCTCGATGTTCCCTACAAGTTATTGAATTAGCTGATTTTAGTTCTGTGTAGCCTGATTCTGGAACAAGAACCCCCTGACCCTCAGTTTATTAATCAGATCAACTGGCAACCAGAACAAGTGTTATTGACTATTGAAAGGATCAGGCAACAAGTTAGACCTTGAGCATGTGAAACAGAACTGCCAACCGAGCGCTTGAGAGAGAATTTGGTTTCCACCCTATCCAGTGTCCCTATTCCAGCCATGGCCATCCCAATGCTTCGGAACAAGAAGACAACAATACAAACAACCCCGCTCCCGAATAGATTTTTTTGGGTGGGTGGGAGTCTCTTCCTCACCCCTGCAGGTGAGCAGCTGAAACCCCGAAGTTTTTAGAAACATTAGATGTGAATGACCAGGGACCTTCAGGGCGGCCAAACCTTTCCCCCCATCTAACTAAAGAGTGGTACAGAATTGAATTGAGAGGACTTTGAGATTGGACAGATCCAAAGACGACATCAGATGTGGATTAACCCTAAAGGCTCTGCAGAAGGAAAATCTAGATTGAATATAGAAACAGTTGTATTAAAATAGCAATATGATTAAACTCTGCAAACAATCCTTATATGTGAAATTAATATAGAGAGTCAATTGATAATCATACTATTTATTGATTATTGAATTGTTCATTTATTATTGAGGTAACCCGTAAGAGCCCCAGTCACAGACCAGGGCCTCATTGTGCTAGACACAGAAGCAAAAAAGAGTCCCAAACAATTTACATATTATATTTTCCAGATTAGATTAAAATGGCAGATTAAGAGTTACAGTTTATATTAATGTTGAGACTCGGAATGCAAAATTAATAATTGCGTGCTATGTTAATTCCTAGATTTGATTAAAATGTAAAACTAATAACTATATTATAATTTTGATTAAAATAAACAAAAAACTACCAAAGATATCAATTCCTATATTTAATTAAAATAAATTAATAACTATATATGCTATCCATGTCTACCTTCAACTTAAATAATAAATGAATAATTATATACTAGAATCATAGAATCATAGAAGATTAGGGTTGGAAGAGACCTCAGGAGGTCATCTAGTCCTCTTTTGATTAAAATAATAAATTAAAAATTAGATATTTTATTCATTCCTACAGTCAGTGAAAATATTTACTTATGAATATTGATGAGTTAGATATTAATATTAAGTGCATGCTGTATTGATTTCTATATTCACATCATATGTTAAATGAATATTTACATATCATTTTAATTTCTAGATTTGATTAAAACCTTGAATTAATAAGTAAACATTGTGATGATTTCCAGATTTGTTAAACATGTTACATTAATAAGTATATAGGATATGAATTCCTATTATGTTCAAAATAATAATGATACAATCTCATTTTTCATTACCACAGTAAATTAGGAATTATATATTACTTTTGTACACATTTGCTTAAAATGTTAAATTAATAAATACATTTTCCTGATTTGATTAAAATACTAACTTAATAATGATAATTGTATTCCCCAGATGTGGTTAAAATATTAAGTTAACATGTATATACATTTCTAGATTTGATTAAAATATTCAGTTAGCAATTACATATATTTTTAGATTAGGCTTAAATATGACATTTGTAGTTATATTTTTTTTAACCTCCAGATCCAATTAAAATATTGAGCTAATAATTCTATATCAGACAAATTTCCAGAATCAATTGAATATTGGATTAAGAACAGTATGTTCCCTAATTTTCAGGTTAAAATCAAATATTAAGGTAGTAAATATATATTACATTAATTCATTGATTAGATTGGTAAGATTCAAATAGAGAGAATAGAAATGTTAAATCAATAAAGATATATTTCTGTGTATTTCTAGATTTGATTAAAATAGTCCCACATAAATTCCAGGTCCAGACAAATGCAGAGAAGTATCTGCTCTGATTATCTGAGTGCAGAGAATATACAACAGATCAGAATATTTTTTGAATCAGAATTTTTCTTTTCTTTTCTTTATGAAAGGGGGATGGGGGAAGGTCCACCTAAAATGTTTGAAAACATTTTTCTTTCTTTTAAATTTAGATTTATCTATGTATCTAACTATCTATTCTCACAGTTACTTTTTAAAATTTATCTGTGTGTCTGCCTGGTAGTCTGAAATGTAAATCTGCTTTTTGCTGAAGAACGATTGGACAATATAAGAATGTTTACTGGGAGCTCTTAATAATTTAGGCCACAGCAACTAGTATAATTTGAATTGGCTTTTAAACTGGTATAATTAAACCGGTGTGTGGACACACTTATTTTGGTCTCAAAGAAGCTAATTTCAGATTAGTTTAAACCTATTCCTAATTGATTTCAACTAAACCAGAATAATTGGGTTTAAACTGAATTAAGAACATCTACATCACCTTTTGCATTCATTTAACTATATTGGTTTAAATTCACAGCATGCGTTACACTGGTTGAGGCTAAAATGGGTGAGACTGTAAAGTATGTTCTTCCCTGTTTTTATTGGGCCATTACTCGGTGGACTGGGAGATGTTTACTATGAGCATTAACCTGCACTGAAGAGGTGGAGGGGTTCTCATTTTAAAACAGAGTATCTTTCTCCACCATGTTAATTAGGCATTTGAATTAAATGGATGTTGAAATTATTATTATTTATGCACAATATTATCACAACACTAACTTAACCATACAATTGCTCTAAACATGCCTATAAAGCCTAAATTATAAGCAAGTTACTACATCCAAACAATAATAAAACTTTTATAAGCATTTGATCAAGTTCCTTACAAACTTGGCTAAATCCAGGAGTGCTTAGACCATGTTGGTCGCCTCCAGTGTGGTCATCAGGTATTAGCAATGAACCTTTTAAGAGTTTTCTTTTTTATACCTGTGACATTACCCTGGCTACAATCTGAACTGTTGATTAGCTGTGTCCCTTCAATTCTCCAACCTGGGGTGCCTTTTATGCTGCTTCACCATGAGAACACCCACTCCTGGTCTGCTCACATCCAGCTTCCAGCATGTAAGTTACTCCCAGCTGTATTGTCGGAGTGCTATGGGCAGCCACTCTTCACTTACACTGCAGAGCAAAAACAGCAAATTCCCAGTCCCAGACTTGCCCCTAGAAATGTGTGTCCTGCACTGCCCAGTTCTCTCCTTCTGGACAATAGAAGCTCATAGAAAGTCCGTCATTTTATTAATAGAAAATGAGATGAACAACCCATGTTATCCCACATGGAACTTTCCAAATATTTCAATCCAAACACACTGGTTTAGATAAAACAATAAAACAAGGTTATTATCTACAGAAAGATAGATTTTAAGTGATTAAAAGAAATGAAGCATAAAATTCAGATTTGGTTACAAGAAAAGAAAAGTAAACGCAACAAATACCTAACTTAACAAGCTATTGAAAGCAAAAGGTTAGAGCCCTGCGCAGATTCAAAATTTACATCCGTGGATGCGGATATCCATGGATATAAAGTGGATTTATGGGGAGCTGCAGGGCTCTACCGGGAACCCCAGCAGTATGTCGGGCTGCTGCTCCTGTGGCGAAGCTGTACTGCCCCCAGCCCCGCCCACTGGGGTGGGCACCAGGCTCCCCAGCAGCTGTCCTCGGTCGCGCTAGTGTGTGCAAGTGGCTTGCACACTGCTGGACAGGGGCTGGATGGAGTGGGGGTGAGAGGGTTGGCTGGGAAGGCTGGCTGGAGTGGGGGTTAGGGGCTTGGCTGGAGGGGTGAGAGGCCCGGCTGGGAGGGCTAGATGGAGTGGGGGTGAGAAGCATGGCTGGTTGGAGAGAAACAGTGAGGGGGCTGGTTGGAGGGACTGGACAGAGTAGGATGAAGGGCTCACTAAATCAAACTCCAACCGTTACCCAAATGCTAATCCTGAAGTCACTCCTCACCCCTGTAACCAGAGCAACCAAATGGTGGTTAGAATGGAAATCAGCCTTTTTCACGTTTCCCATTTTCACCTAAATCAGCCACTGTGACCCTAACGGGGTTACCCAAGGGGCACAGGGTGAATCGCTACCACTTGCTTACAGCACGAGGGAGCCTTGTCTGTGCCCACTTGGGGAAACTCACCCCGAACTATCCACTGCTGGCAACACAAGTGCCCCACTCCAGGCTCCGTGTGACTCACTCTTCCCCTTTGCAGGCTGGCAATTTGCACCCCCAGCCCTTAGACTCTTTTGGGGTGGGGCAGAGAGAATCTGGGCCTATATCTCTGGAGATTGTTACCCCCAGAGTCCTGCTCTGTCCCAGGTCACAGATCCCTCCAATCTGTCTGCACACTCCACTGCGCTATACTCGAGTGCCCAGTCCCTCAACCTCTGCACATCCGCAGAGCACACAGATTCGCTGCCTCCCTGGAAGCAGCGTCCCCCAGTTCACTAGTTTCACCTCAGTTCAGCCTTAGCACACGGCTTAGTCATGTCTATACTGAAACCAAAGAGATGTTTGGTGGACAAAGCTTAAGATGAAGATTCAAACAGAAGCTAGTATAAGGATTGGAATCATGGCTACCGATCAAACACAAATATAAAACTCCATCTAGAGCCCCTACTGATTAACGAGTTCCTCTCCTGGCTAATAAGGTATTTCTCATCCAGTGATCGGTCCAGACAGTACTTGTCCAGCTGAGAGACCTGGGATCCACTTGTCATGAGACGCTCATGCTGGCAGAGTGTCGCCTACCTAGTGGATCCTGTCTTCTGCCCTTCTTTCTGCTATTACACAGTTCCAGACCTTTTGTCTCTTTTTGTCACCAGGGCATTTAGTTAACTTCAGTTTGCCCCAATGGTGTCCATATTCAAGGTCTTTTTCTTGCCCTCTTTTGTGCTTGTAAATGCTTGGCTGGGCTGGGTTGAAAGATGTCAATTGTTCTCATTCTTGGCTGAGTTAGTGCTGAGGATCCTCCCACCCCAGGTGACCGGTTTCACCGCCAGCAGCTTTGGCACACAATGTTCTCCAGGCTAGACAAAGCTTAAAATATTTTCCATACATGCATCCTGCAATAGCCATGACAACCAAAGCGTTCTTAGTTTTCGGCAAAGACCACACACGGCTCCTTCAGTGAAGTATGGTGAAGATGGCGATCACAGGGAAACATGCTCCTCGAGGCCTGTCTAGGCAAGTCCCCGGGTATAGACTCATAAGTGTGTACCTGTTTGTTGCCAACATGGGGCTCCTGGATCACAATAGGTTTCTACCAACTGGTGCCTAGAACATTCCCTGAAATGCTGGAATTGTTCCAATGTGGCTTTCATAGAATTATAGAAATGTAAGGGACCTTGAAAGGTCATCAAGTCCAGTCCCCTGCCTTTACAGCAGGACCAAGTACTGTCCCTCACAGATTATTTCTGCCCCAGATCCCTAAATGGCCCCCTGAAGAATTGAACTCACAACCCTGGGTTTAGCAGGCCAATGCTCACACCACTGAGCTATCCCTCCCCCTAAGTTGCCAAAGTTATCCTGCTATGGTGAGACAGGCAGAGAAATGCCATGTAGTTGAGTGCCCAATTACCGTGTATTAAAAACAGTATGATGTAAATGGCTCTGTGTGAACCCAGCATAGGTGCGGGCTTCCTCCGGGCCCGGGGGTGGGTGCTCAACCCCCCGCTCCATCTCAGGCCCTTCCCCCCCCAGTCCCTTCCCCCAAGCCCTCGCCTTGCCTCTTCTCGTCCAGGTCCGCCCCTTCCCCCAGGATGCCCCCTCCCCACTCCTCCCCCTCCCTCCCAGAGCCTCCTGCATGCCACAAAACAGCTGATCACGGTGGGGGTATGCACTGGGAGGAAGTGGGGAGCTGGCTGCCAGTGGGTGCTGAGCACCCAGAGTCAGCACCTATGGAACTCAGAGTGGGGGCTGTGCTCCCTCCAAGCCCCAATATATAGCAGCCCCCTCTATGCCAATCTGCCCCCTTGGCCCTCCAGGGCAGAGAGAGGAGCTAAGTTTCCATGGTCCATTCGCCCTCAGCCTCTCTTCTGGGGCTGCTGGCAGATAGACACTGGAAACTCACTTGTTCATTTCACGGTTGTTACCCCTAGGAGGATCTGGATCAGATCCAGGTGGAGGGACTGGCTGGCTCATAGATTCCAAGGCCAGAGGGGACCATTGTGATCATCTAGTCTGACCTCCTGCATAACACAGGCCAGAGAACACCCCCAAAATAGTTCCTAGAGCAGAAAAACATCCAATCTCGATTTAAAAGTTGTCAGTGATGGAGAATTCATTATGACCCTTGGTAAATTGTTCCATAGGTTAATTACTTTCACTGTTAAAAATGTATACCTTATTTCCAGACTGAATTTGTCTAGCTTCAACTTTTAGCCACTGGATGGTGTTATACCTTTCTCTGTTATACAGCGGGAACAGTTACTCCAGTTGCAACAATGTCATTTATGACAGTGTCCAAGACGCTAGACTCCCGGTGGGCGGAAAACCCTAGCATCATGAACTTTTCCAGTGCAGCCCATGTTAGCATCCATAAATTGGCCTCTGTGGTCCATATAACCCTGTGTAACACTGGAGTAGTACCCTTAGTGGTTATGTATTCTCGTGTACCTTGCTGTGGGCAAACTATGGGCACAAGTTCCATCAATGGCTCAGGCACCGCCATTCCCTCCAAATGGGCAATTACTTTCAGGGCATTGTTTATGCCCACCACATTTGGTAAATCACACTCCTGATTGCCTCACAGCCATCCACAGTCAACTTGCCAGCACCAAACTGGTTAGCAGCAGGCATGTAGCAGTCAGGAGTCACCAGGTTCCAGATGGTTATAGCAACTCACTTCTGGACCAGCATGGCCACCCTTATGGTTTCATAGATTCACAGATTCCAAGGCCAGAAGGGACCATTGTGATAATCTACTCAGACCTCCTGTGTAACACAGGCCACAGAACTTCCCCAAAATAATTCCTGGAGCGGATCTATTAGAAATACATCCAATCTTGATTTAAACATTTTCAGTGATGGAGAAGCCACCATGACCTTGATAAATTGTTCCATTGGTTAACTATTATCACCATTATAAATGTATACCTTATTTCCAGTCTGAATTGGTCTGCCATCAACTTCCAGCAATTGGCTTGAGTAATACCTTTCTTTGCTAGATTGAAAACCCCATTATTAAATATTTGTTTGCCATGTGGGTATTTCTAGACCTTAATCAAGTCACCCCTTAACCTTCTGTATATTAAATTGAGCTTCTTGAGTCTATCAGCATAAGGCGTGTTTTCTAATCCTTTAATCATTCTTCTGACTTTTCTCTGAGCCCTCTCCAATTTAGCAACCTCCTTCTTGAATGGTGGGCACTAGAATTGAACACAGGATTCCAGCAATGGTTGTGCCAGTGTCAAATACAGAGGTAGAATAACTCCTACTGGAGATTCCCCTGCTTATGCATCCCAGGATCACCTTAGTCCTTTTGGCCACAGCAACACACTGGGAACTCATGTTCTGCTGATCATCCACAATGACCCCAACATCTTTTTCAGAGTCCCTGCTTCCCAGGGTAGAGCTCCTATCCTGTAAATATGGCCGACATTCTTTGTTCGTAGATATATACTAGATATGTGTATCCTGGAATGGGAGGGGCAGGGAAAGCTGCTCAATAAACTCCAGAAAGGTCACGTTCTCCGTGCAAAAGCTCGGGACCCACTCCTGGTCATCCCAGGTCCTCATGATGATGTGATCCCACCAGTCTGGACTTATGGCCCCTCTCCAGAAAGGCCAATCTACATAGAAGGCTTCAGTGACTATCCCGAGAATCATGAGTAGCCTCAGCCAGTTGGAGTCTGCCATGTCTGTGTCATCCTCCTCCCCTGGCAGGTGCCTTCAGTAGGTTAGAAAACATTGCTCAAATGTCTCCTGGAGACTCAGCCTGTTTCCTGAAACAGCAGTGAAAGTGTAAGCAGGAAAAGCTTTTCAAATGGTGCCTCCTCCGTGTTGCTGACTCTGGCTGCTGGGAGTGTGCAGATCCAAAAGATGGCTCAAAAGGACGTGTTGAGGAGCTGAGACAATTTCCAGTAACGTATCGCTGGATGGACAGTCAAGTTTTCCCACAGGGTGCCGCAAACACAGGGCTGGAGTGGCTACAGCTGTGGAGGGTGCAAGGAAGCCTGGGGACAGTTGGTTTGACTTGGGTCTGCTTAGTGCAGACACATAAGCATGGTTGTGAGATCCGGGTCCAGTAATTGTAAACTCAGGGTGACTACTCAGTTTGGACACTCAAGCCCAGGCTTAGAAACACTGAGCTTGTGGGCTCGTGTCCCAGACCCAGGCTTGCGGTGTAGACACACCTATGGGGGTTTGTACGTGTACAGACTGTCTGCTGCCCACTGCTGTAGGACTGAAACCTGGCCATTACACAAGTGTTATTCTTCTGAATCAGGGGGACTGGCTGGCTCAGGGGTGTTGGGAATGGGGCATGAGGTCTCTCCCTCCTAGGGGGCACAGCTTCACTCCAGCCCCAGGGCAGGGAACTGGCTGGCTCAGAGGTGTGGGGAATGGAATATGAGGCCTTTCCCAAAGGAGGAGCTGGCTTCCATATGGCCCCAGGGTAGGAGGCACTGGCTGGCTCAGGGGGACAGAGAATGGGATATGGGGCCTTTCCCCTCTAGGGGATTCCAGGCAGGTGACTGGCTGGCGCAGAGTGGGTGGGGGAGAAGGAAGGGGGCGCTTTTCTATGACTCTGTCATAAGCCTGTAATTATCATTGTACCTTGTTTGGTCCCCATATGAGCAAGACAGCTGACCCTGTGGAAGACAATTCCATCCCAGCTGCACTAAGCAGTTCCCTGGCCAGCAGCCTCAGCAGA